CGAATCTGATGGATTTAATATTTCCCAGCTTGTATTACTTTGCATGCGGCATGATAACACTTTCAAATTTGTCCTCCATCGTTCCGAGAAAGAGTGAAAATAAATTTGTGATAATGAAATTATACTTTTTGCACAGATTTATTCTACTTCCTCACCTGTGCAGTTCTGAAAACTCTATCTACTATAGATACCAATAAAAAAGTTCTTTACCATGACAGAGAAGTCAAAATAAGACATTTATTATAGATATCATACATTTGTTGTATGAGAAAATCCATTAATTTTCAAAGGATATTAATTAGACATAGTGATATGTAAAAATTCAAATAGAATATATCTGAGGCAAGATTGACAAATATGGTGAATGTATAAATTTAAAATATATTATGGTGAAATTTTTTTGACATTTATACTTCTCGAAATATTCCCCCTCACTTCAAACACATTCTACTATTTTTTCTCAATTCCCAAGCAGTTCTGAAATTATACTTTTTGAGTGTCTTTTGTTACACTATCACAGGCTGCTTCTATGTCCTGAATTGATTCAAAATGTTTACCTATGATGGTTATTTTGACCTTGGGGAAGAGATAGAAGTCACATGGTGCCAGATCCAGTGAATCAAGTGGATGAAGACACACTAAGGTTTCTACGAATGGTCTTTCCATGGGATAGCACTTAGCAGCATTACCATATTTCTGATCACATCTCATACTACACTCAGGAGAGAGGACTGCCAGAACAGCTTCAAAAAGTGGCAAGAATGATGGATAGTGTGTTAGAGTGAGGGGAATTATTTTCAAGGGAATTTATGGCAATGTGTCTTTTACTGTTATAAATATTTTAATTTAAACATTTAGTATATTTTGACTACTCCTCATATATACATATTAAACTCTAGTTAGTACACAATAATTACATTTATATTAAAATAATTTAAAGTTAAAAACTATATGACAATGAAAAGAATCACAAGTAATAGTGCAGTCAGAAAAATACCATAGTTATTAAATAAATTGTATCAATAATCAATAATAGTCATACAAAACAGAAATCACAAGGCCAGATAGATTTACAAGTAGACTACACTAAACAGAAGAAATCATACCAATTTTCTACAAGCTTCTCTTAAAGATGAAAGCAGAAGAAATTCTAACTTATTCTATGAAGTCAACATTACTCAAATATGAAAATGAGATTAACATGCTATAAGTAAAGAAAAATACAAGTATTTTAGATGACTATAAGTGCAAAAATCTTAAACAAAATATTAGCAAATGAAATCCAGAAAATTGTGCACCACAACATTGGAATTTAGCACAAGCATGAAGAATAGGTTCAACAGACAAAGATCAACCAGTGTAATCCATCACAGCCAAAAGGCACAGGACCATTTCAACTTAGGTAGAAAAGGCATCTGGCAAAATTCAACACTTCTTTATGATTTAAAAAATATCTCATCAAACTAGGAATAAAGCAAATAGTTTTGATTACCTGGGAACAAACTTTTATTTTTTCCCTCTCAGTCTGTGCAACTTTTATTTCCCTTTCTTGGCTAACTGTATGAGCAATGCAACAATAAAAAACTGCCTTTGTTTATAGTTAACATGATCATTTATGTACAAAAGAAATCTCCTGGAACTAAAAAGTGATTATACCAAAGTAACAGGATACAAAGCTAATATACAAAAGTCAAATGGTTTCCTATACATTAGAACAAATAAGTGAAATTTGAAACTTGGACACAAGATCTTTTACAGTAACACCTTCTAAAAAATAAAATACTTAGCTATAATGTGTAAGACTTCTATGAGGAAAGCCAAGAAGAATGGAGAAGAAAATTCCTAGTTCATGAATAAGAAGGTACAATATTATCAGCATGTTAGTTCTTTCCAAAGTTATTCACTACTTCAGAACAATCCTAAGCTAAATCCTAGCAAGTAATTTTGTGGATATCAAAAAATGAACTCCAGAGTTCGTATGGAGAAGTAAAGAACCTACTAAGCTGGACTCAACACAAAAGAAAACAGAGTGAGAGAACTCACTACCCAAATTCGGCTTTACCGTACAGTCCCTGCCAGTACAGTAGTGTCAGTGGTGAGCAGACAGCTTCATCAGTGGAATGCAACAGGGACCACGGAAATAGTCTCGTATTTGCAACCACAACTGAGGGCTGCAAGCGTATCTGTACTTCCTCCTTCTCCTCCCGTCTCCCCTCCCCACGCAAAGCAGATGATTCACTGCTCCTGCTTTCCTTGAAAGGACCCTCCTTTCAGCAGTACTTCACACTGGAAAACAAAATCCAGGTATTGATCCTCAATTTCAACCCTAGGCAAGGCCTTCCATGTGTGAAGAAGTCCTTTAGTCTAAAAGGTGGTCAAAACAAGGAAAGCAAAGCAAATGAACATTAAAAGGAGTGTGTGTGCATGTGTGAAGGAATCCAAAGAAAAATACAAAGGATAAAGAAAAGTCTACCTTTAGTGAATAAAGCAAAGAAACACATACCATGAAGAGAGTGAGAGAATAATAAAGGTCTATTGACTCTTTTATGCATGATGACATATATTTGAAAACTGTAAGAAGTGTTTTGAAAGTTTAATTCAGAGAAATATCATCTAGGCAGGGAGCAAAACACACAGCATCACGAACTGTGAAAGAAAAGAGCAGAGAGCTTTGACTCAATCCAGGAGGTCCAACATTTGCATGGCAGGTGTTCAAGAAAGGAAAAAACAGAAAATGGAGGGGAAGAATTGAAAAGCATGAATGTGTGGAATAAAAAAGACTAACAAGTGATTTACACATGAAAAAAAATTAAGTCATGCCCTTATAAAAGTTCAGAAACTGCAGTACAAAGAGGAGCTTTTATCCAGAGTTGGGAAAATGGATATATTCACAAAAATAAATTTTAAAAGCACTGACATTGTTAGTAGAACTATTAATTGTGAAAGAGAGAAAGAATGGCCTAATGTTCTGAGTGGAAATGGTTTTTGAACCTAAAAATTTATGCCCAGTTATTTTTCAAGTGTGAGGATCACACGAAAACACTTTCAGAAATACAATGTTTCAAAAATAAAACTTCCAGAATTTTCACAAACTGCTAAGAACAAGTCTCAGAATGAGAGCGTAAACCAAAATAGAGAATTAAGATCCAGGAAAAAAGTGATCCAAGGCAGGAAAAAGGTAAAGCCCCACAATTATAGATGTGTAACAGACACAGAAATCAGTCTCATTTGGAGCAAGAAAGGTAAATTCAAAAAAACATAGTCCAGATGAAAAGCCCACTATGCGTAAATCGTTGAAAGTCGCAATACTGAGTTAGTATTTGTGGTATAGGAGTTAAGAAAATCAATTTGCCATAATTACACTTACAGCTGTACTACGCAATGGTTAATACATTGTGTCAACTTGAGAAGTTTAGAAGTTTAACTCAGCAGGGAGCCAGGGTCCTCACTTTGTAAATATCCTGAGCTTGTGGAAGAGGAGGGCATGGAGATGGTATGGGGTAGTGGGCTTACAATATAAGGGAGGAGAAGAGGCTGGCTTTTGTTCTCCTTTTGTTCTTGCTGCTTCTGTTGTCTTCTGCCAGCTTAAAGTGTTGCCCTCTGCCATGCTACCCTGCCTTGGATCCAGCCGATTATGGACTGAAACCTTCACAACTGTGAGCTAAATAAACCTTTCCTTCCTTAATTATGGGCATTGGGTATTTTGTCTCAGTAACAAGAGAAAAGTAACTAAGACAGCTAGGATGGTTATGATGTTTTGGTAAAAGAGGGATTGCATATGTGGCCCCATAAGATTATATCACATAGTGACAGCAAAGTCACCTTAGTTTGCACAAGTACACTCTAAAAGAGTCACCCCATAGAACTGCCTAATGAAGCACTTGAGAATATTATCCTCATCAGTAAGTGATGCATGACTATACATGGAAAGTTAGCTCATTTTAAAAAGTCTATTATTAAATCTAAGGCAAAATTTTGTACTTGATAGGATTAGAAATACAGTGAACAATAGTTGTATATATTTAATAAAAAGAAACTAGGAATTCATTAAAAAATACGACAAAGTTAGTTTGTGAGAATAGCAAACGACATGCCATGAACAATATCTAAAAAGGTCAATATTTTAAAATTAATTTTTAATTACAACCTGAAATTAGTCCCATTTGAAAAAATGCTTAAAAGAGTGCCTAAAATTGAAACATTTTTTCCCTAGGCAGAAGACCTTCAGTTTTTATAAATTTAAAGGATTTTGATATTAAGGACAAGTCTCTTATCACTGTGATTAGGGTGTACCTGCTTACATGAGTGCTTCCAAATAAAAAATAAAAGTTGCATTTTTTAAATTGAAGTCTATAGTGAATTTTTAAATCAATATTATTACACAGGTTAGAGATGGTAATTTTATTTCTGATGGTTCAATGTCCAGCAGTGATTCACAGTCATTCATCATGAATACCAACTTTGAATTTATAAATAAACCCAAAGGGTAAGAAGGTGTAATGTATATATATCTAATTCAGAACACAAATGTTTTAAAAAAAAACTCATGTACTTCCCTTTTCACGAGTGATTTATCTGTTTTTATATTCTCAGATTGCAGAAAAGTGTATTAGAATAATATCTTGAATTAATTTAGCTATACAAAATCTAAGAGACTCATTTTGGCATTTCTTAAGGACAGAGATAATTGCATTATTATTAATCATTGTAGTGAGAATCAATTATGTATAAAGTGTTTTCGAGATTGTGTTTACAACTACAAAATAATATATGATATCGGGTTGATTGCGTTTTAATCATATACTTATTTGCTATTTTTTGGGTTTCTAGTTTTCCGCCTCCTGTTTAATACACAAAGTTTTTACTTTGCTGTATTTGGGTCACGTGGGGATTGAGTTTTGCAGATTACGTCTTTATAAATATTTCTTTGCTTATTTAGAGACTTTCCATTTATCACTGGAAGTTTTTATTTATAATATAAGATTTCATCTTTTCTTCAGAGAAAAGTGAAGAACGAAGTTGCACTTCTAAGCCTCAAGTAAAAGAAATCAAGAAATTTGGAAGAGGTTTCAGGACTAGGTGAGTTAACAGGTCAAGAAGCCGACTGGCCATAAAGCCGGTAAGTTAAATCACTTGTATTTCATAGTCTCGTGGTCTTATTTATTTTT